TCGTCCACCTCTGGAACCAAACACAGAGAACACCTGAGGCACCCTTCAAATGGTACCAGAAGAACAAGCATCCCAAAAGGTACGCCTGTGACCTCTCCAGGCAATTGGAGCAGGGAAGCAGCTCCGCCCCCCAGGCTGTGCTTGACGCAGCGTACAGGACAGTGGGGCTGGGAGCTGGGCATCGGGAAGTGCTCGAGATCAGATGCTTGGCTCACAGCAAGCACCTCTGCTCCCCTCTCAGTCATATCTATGAACAATAGAGTAAGTGCATTTCACTTGTCCTAAGATGAGAAGGCTGTAGAGGGGAGAAAAGGTTGATTCTTGCCCTGTCCTCATCAAATGCTTCAGGAGTTCAGCCACAGCCATTCAGCAGTTGTGACTCTGCTCAGAAAAGAAGCAAAGTACCTATGGCTGAGATGTCACTTAGAGGGAAGGTGTGGATACCACAGAGGAGTCCGAGCCTGGCAACAAATCTGCACCACTGACCTGCAAACTTTCCCAGTGGAATCCGATTAATCATGGCAGCAGATTTCTGAGGGTCACTCCAGTTGATTCTCCCCATGTCAGTCATAACCACTGTGGGGTTCACAGTGTTCACCCTAATCTGAGACCAAGAGTAACAGACAAATCTAACCAGACTGCTTTGAGAGGAAATGCTGAGGTTCAGCGTTCACGTTTTTTCTTTCTCAGAAAGAATCCTACCTTGTGGGGTCCCAGTTCCATTGCCATGACCTTGCTCAGCATATCCAACGCACTTTTTGTGGAACCTTCAAGAGAGGGGAAGAACAGGAGGCATTGAAGTGCATAGCACTTGGTCTGAAGCATGCAGAAGTCCTTCCCTGCCCAGAATGGGCAGCCAGCAGCCTCGTGGCTGCGGGCCTGCAGCTGGAGGGGTGCTGCTCAGCACTCACAGTACACGGCGTGGTCGCGCAGAGCTCGCTGCGATGCCTGGCTGGAGACATTCACAATAGTGCCTGGCACCCCCCGGGCAATCATCTGCCGAGCGACGATCTGGCAGGGGGCAGCAAAAGGGATGGCAGAACCATAACAGGGGAAACCACTACTTCATTCAG